TGCGCAAATGTAGCCATCTGCTTCAAGTCAGGGTACTATTCGCACTTTACCGGATTTCTCTATGCTGCAGCTCTTACAACGTCACTATCGAAGATTCCACCCGCTTTTCAAGCTGCTCAATGATCAGCAAGTACCGACGTTGATATTCTCTGCGGGACTCTACGACGTCATTCACGCTGCACTAGAACGGGAGTTTACTGTTGAGAGCAAGCGAAATGGCAGTTCAACAGTTAACAACCAGACGTCCACATCTAGCAATGTGCACGTGGTGTCCAACATGATGCGGTTCGACACCCAGGGGGTTATCGAAGGCTTTGAGGGGAAGCTCATCCACTCGCTTAACAAAAATGCTCGCGTGCTGCTCGACTCGCCATTCTGGGAGGAGTGTCAGTTGGAAAAGCGTCGAAACGTGCTGCTGCTTGGAGACTCGCCGGGAGATACTCGAATGGCCGAAGGTTTGAATGCTGACGAAATCATCCGCGTCGGCTTCTTAAACGTACACGTGGATGAGAAATTGGACGAATATCTCGACCTGTACGACGTCGTATTCACGCACGACGCGAGTCTAGTCCCCGTGCAGATGCTGATCGAGCAAATGACGGTGTCGTCAAAGGCCAAAAAGAAGTAAATGCTTGAAAAATAGTACATACAAGCAATTATAGACTATGGAATATCATCGATCATCGCGAGGACATTTGGCTACACATGATTTTCCACAACATCAACGACAGAAAAATCAACGTCACCAAGTCAGGATCAACCAAACCAAAGGTATACAGGCAATCCTCGTTGTAGTGATACCGTGTGGATCCCACTTTTATTACTATCCGGAGGGATCATAATCTAGAGCTGTACCATTGCAAGAGTATGGGTCTTTATGGATACACTGCTGACCTGTTATGCCAATTACAATGGATGACCAGGCTTTCTTCATGCTGACGCGATGGGTGTGCCGCTTCGAGCAATGAGCGGGTTTTGGACTCTGGACCGCGTTTCGAGAGAAGTTGGGTCGAACGAAGCACATGTCGTTGCTGGACTAACATAGATTGACACTACCTTTAGTTAACGACCTCTTGATACTGATAACCGTCTATTTAGTATCATTATGTACAATCTGAAGGTTAGAGGTAATTTTGACTTGGGCTTGTAAGCTGACAGGTCCAACCTCCTTAACTAGAGGGTATCACTATTTGGGATACCACTCCAAAGAGGATTGTCTGTAGGCCTAATTTCATGTTTCTTTTTAAATTGGAGTGGATTCAAATTCTTCGGAGGCAAAAGGTGCTCCTGGTAAGATAGGTGGAAAATCATGTGTAGCCAAATGTCCTCGCGATGATCGATGATATTCCATAGTCTATAATTGCTTGTAGAACAAGAAGAACTACCGTA